ATGCGTCACAGCAGAATATGTAAGATGCAAAACATTGCTGTTTGTTCACCTTCAGACGCGTTTGTATTTCAATTCTGCTAAACTGGAACTTTCTGCTGCAAACTTTGATCTCATCCTAGCGCTTCTAACTCATGATGTGAATCAGTACTGATGCTTGCTTTCTACCAGTGTGCCGACATTTCATTATGCCAATCTCAACTTTCACATTTGTAATGGTTAGCACCTCTCACAGACAGTTTTTTGCTTTTAACAATTGCACAATTTCCATTCTTTTTATCAACAGCGCCAGAAGGTGCTCCAAGTAGTTTTTGCTGTACATTCAATGCAGTGATGAATAATACTGATGAATATAACAAATGAAAAAAAAAAAATTGCTTCCTAGATATTTCCTGTAAAGTTGTTAAACACATATGGATGATCTTTCTTGCCCGTTCCATTGTACTACATACTTTCATTGAAAATAGATGATTTTTGGAAGTCATTATGCTGTATCTCCAGCCCTGTCACTCTTTTTCTCTTACTTCTTTAGCTTATTATTTCAGCATGAAAACAGCAAGCAAGCAGAAAACTTTTCAACTGATTTCATAATAAAAGAACATCAGCATGTAGCCTTAAGGTAATTTAGGCACATACGTGTTCCCTCTAAAAACCTGATCACATTCTCTGAAAATACTTTTAGTCTGATCTCTGAACAAGCTCTGGTGGAAAGATTAGATTTGATAATATTATAGACTTAGGAAAATTTTAGTCAGACATCTGTGTTTGAAGAGATCTAGGTACAATTCTAATTTTAAGACTCTTGCTTAAAGACTAATGCAAAAAAAAAAAAAAAAAAAGATTTTGCACGCTGAAGCGTGCCTATCTTTCCAACTACAGAAATTCCATCGTGAAAAAGGGTAATTCTGCACAAAGCTCACCTCATCAGCAATCAGCATTTTCTCACTGTAGGAAGACCGGGGCAGATAATGAGCCAGAAGGCAAAGCAGAGGACAGAACAACTTAATTTCTGGGGTTATAAGGCAGAATTTGGGTTCTCCTTTTATTTGTCCATATTGACTTGACATTCTTCTAGCTCAGAGATTAATACTGCAGGTGTGATGAGAAGGACTACTGCAAGTTCCCAGAGGCTTGTAGTTATTCAGGTAGGATGCAAGGAGGAAGCTTTGCAAATTGCACCAGAAGTCTCTCATGACCTAGTTAGAGATGGGGAGGGAAAGTCTTTTTGCCGTGTCTAGAATGTGCAAAATATTGACAACATCACACAGGAAGTAAATTGCCTGCTGCTTTGGCAAGTCTTCTGAGACGAGATTTGTGATTCAATGGTGAGTTGCAGAGCAATGAACAAAGTGTTCCTTAAATGTACTGCATGGGTGAGCCACCTGCAAAACAGAAGAAAAAAAAAAAAGACCACATCCATGCATTCTTCTCAGGCCGCCTGTCCTTGCTTCCACCTTTTATAAGCCTCTTTTTTCCCTCTGAATTTCCTCAGCAGCTCCTTATCCATCCAAGGAGGTCTCCTGGCCCTCCTGCAGCGCTTCCTCCTAGTTGGGACACAGCACTCTTGAGCTTGTAGCAGGTGATCCTTGAATATCAACCAAGAGTCTTGGGCCCCCCTGCCCTCTGTGTACTTACAGAATTCCTTCTTTCTGTCTTTGACGTCCCTGGGCAGATTCAATTCCATTTCTGTTTTGTCTTTCAGAACTGCATCTCTGCATGCTCAGGCAGACCACAATATTTGAAAAGTAATAATTCTTAATTATCTCATGCACTTTCATCATGCATACTGCCAGACAGATGCTTTAGGGAATATAACTGTGTAGACAATCAGAAAAACCCCACCAACGCGCACACATGCACACACATGCACCACACACTCTAGAGTCACCATGCTCTAAAAAGGCAAGCAGAGAGTAGGATCCCTTGAGGCTCAGTGGAGGATGATGATTCAACTGTTGACAGCTGTTGTGAAAGAAACCAAAATCATCTCAATATGAAACGAAACTAGAGGTTTGGGATTGTGGGTTTTTTTTTTTGTTTGGTTTTTTTTTTTGACAAAGGAGTTAGAACTGCAACAACAAAGTTATAGAAATGCAGACCTAGAGTACAGCAAAATTCATTTTAGGGTATTGATTACTGTTAAAATAAGATAACTTGTGTATTTATTAGGGCAGAAGCAAGCCTTGCCACGCCTATTAGCATCACAAGTGAGAGCTGTGGGAGCATGAGCTGAACATAGGTATGTCCAGCCACACAGCTGCAGACACTGACCTATCAGAGACACTTCTCTCTGACTCAGTCCCGAAAGTGGACTGTTCCCCAAAAGAAGTGTGGCATGGCTGGTGATGCAGCCCAGGACTGCATCAGTTGGTTTCTGATGCATGAGTCATGGTGAGCTTTTTGTCAACAGTCACTCCCAAGTCCTTGTCCTCAGGGCTGCTCTTATTCCAGTCTGTGTTTGTGCGTGATATTGTCCCCAACACTTGTCACTGGTCTCCACTTGAACATCAAGTTGTTGACCACAACTCTTTGAGTGTGACAATCCAGCCAATTTGACTGTACCTCAAAACCTGCTGTCATCAGCAAAACTGGTGAGCATGCACTTGATCCCAATGTCCATGTCACTGACAGAAATGTTAAACAGCTCCGGGTCCAATACCAAGAAATCCCAGTCGTCACTTGAACATCAAGCGTTTGACCATAACTCTTTGAGTGCAACAATCCAGCCAATTCTTTAAGTAAATTTCCTTTGGGAAATTAATTGAGTGACTGATTTCCCCCAAGTCAATCTGTTTTGCCTGTGATGGTAATTGGTAATTGATCTCCCTGACCCACAAGCTGTTTTATCTGTTTTCTCTCCCTGTCCTGTCCTGTTGAGGAGGGTGAGTGAGAAAGCGGTGGAGAGGGAGCATGTCAGTCAGCCAAAGCCAGGCCCCTGCACATGGCTAAAGATATTTGCATTCACACAGGTGAGAAAACACACAGAAACGAGAAAACCACGTCACTCATGGAAGACCAGAAGCAGAATAAAATCTGCATGGAGTACAGTCAAGGAGTCAGGGCTCAAGTTAAACCTCTTGCAACAGGAGAATATTAATGGCTCTTCTGTGGTGTTTCCCAGCTGTGATGCACTGGTACAACAGCTTTATTCTTGTTCCATGTTTGACTTGTCTTTCCAGTTTTTTCAGGATACAAGCCTAGACTTTGCTGGAGTTGATTAAGTGTTAAATACTGCAGTCTTTAGTTCACATCACCTGATTTTTCACCTATGATGTCTTACACTGAGTCACCATGATATCATGGAGTGTGCTTCAGATGTCCAGCTAGACAGCTACCAAAACAAATCTACAATTTTCAGTATGAAGTGGACAAAAGCAGTAACTCCCCCGCCCCCAACCACTCAAAGTTATCATGTTACAGTGCTCTATATCCATAACACCATTGCTACTCAAGTATTTTTTATGATCTTTTGAAAGTCTCTTCTGCTACTGGGAAACCAGCATATGTCAAATTCCATTTTTCTATAGTATTAGTATTTCTATAGTAAACTAGGTAAGAAGAAGAATGAGAGAATATCCTATTATTACTGTTACTTATTTCACACATACAGCTCTGAACATGTAAAAGGAAACTGCCTAAAATATCCTAAAATATACTGCATAGTTATACAGATCATGGACAAAAAAAGATCATTCAACATATGATTTTACCATACCAGAAAGTTGCTGCCTGGAGACATGATCCTACTGGGAGCACAGGAAAATTCAAATACTTCTACCCATCAGCTGAAGGAGCCTTTGGAAACAGAGAGGAGATGCTGCTTCTTCCAGAGGAAAACAAAGGGATTTTTTTTTCTCCCCTCTTTTCTTATTCTCTATTCGTAATTTCTCTCCTCTCGGTCTTTGGACTTACTGCCCAGATTGAAGAAGGAGAAAACTCTATCAGTTTAAGTAACAAGAGGTAATATTTTAATTTCTGTTCCTCATTCTTAGTTGGTTCCCAAGGCAAAACAAAAACGTAAGTGTGTTTCCATTGTCTATTTTTCTAATGGTACAGGGAGCTGCTGTTACAATATGAAAGAGGAATCTATCCCATCTACCTTTAGGCAACAGCAATACAGATTTTTACATCTGAAATACTCATCTGAGAGAAATAGGAATTTCCTTGGCACTAGTGATTCATCTTACTTCAGATGTTAATGGTGGAGAAACACTATACTGACAGTGTACTTGCTTATTTCTATTGTCTGTAGAAAGCTTTGTCAATTGCAGTTGCCTATTTAGCTGATAAATATGTTGAAGAAATAAATCACAGTGTGTGCTTTCTCACCTCCTCTTTTTCTCTTTCATCCTTGCTAAAGAAAAGAAAAAGGCATTTTTACAAATCCTGACAGCCAAAGACTCAAAACCTTAAGCTCCTTTTTTTTTGTTATTAGTGATACAGTAAAGGCAGAAAAAAAAAAATAAATCCGTGATTCTGTTTCTGTGTCTTTTAAGGATCAGCCAAGTATATTTTGGCTGCAACAGTCCCAGAAGTTTCCTGTCAAATAATTTTGTTAGCACACCTGATGAGAAGATAAATTCATGGAAATAGGCAGCAAGTTGTAAATGTTAGTAACCACTGTATATGGTCAGCTGTTTGTATGCTGAGAATCTTTTTACTCCCCAGAGCTCTTCTTAAATGAAAACTCAGAATATGGATTTTATATGGTTTGATGAAACAAACAAGTGCGTGAACACTTCTATTAACTCAAACTTTTTTATGTTTGGGTTGCCCTTTTGCAATATGTATGTCTATCTTCTGTTCACCTAATTTAGAGAAGATGAATCCTGCAGCCTCTGACTGCTAAAAATGACCTTGTATGGGTTCCCCAGCTGGGACCTTTTACACTGTGGTCACTGTCATATGCAATACAAATTTCACCTCATGGCTTAAACCCCATTTTACTTGCTACTGTAGCTATTTCTGAGACTGCAGGTCTGTCCCAGGCTACTATTTTTTTTTGTATTATAGGGCTGTTGTTTTTTTTTTCTCTTTTAGGATGGGACCTGTTGAGGACATGAAGACAGGAAACCAAACGGTCACTACTCACTTCTTACTTTTGGGGTTTTCCTTCCATGGCAAGATGCAGCTCCTATTTTTCACACTGATTTCCACCATGTCCCTGGCCATCTTGATAGGGAACTCTCTAACTGTTGTGATCGCAGCCGTTGACCCTGTCCTACACGCTCCCATGTACTACTTCCTAGGGAATTGTCGTGGTTTAAACCCTAGCCAGACAGCCTGTTCACTCACTCCCAGTGAGTGGTGCCAGGCTGAGAGCACCTGGAGGAACGGGGAGGAGGATCGAAAGAGTGCAACTCCCATGGGTTGAGACAGGAACAGTCCAGCAACCAATGTACAACACAAATCACCACCGCTACCACCAACGACAACAATAAAAGAAAATAACAAGGGAAGAAAATACAATACCACCGGCCAAGAAATGAGTCCGATCCAGAAGCCCGTGTCCTTCCAGGTAACTCCCAGTTACCCCCCACCCAAGGCATGATGTGCTGTGGTATGGAATACCTCTTTGGCTAGCCTGGGTCAAGCACCCCATCTCTGCTTCCTCCCAGCTTCCCCTCCTCCCTGGCAGAGCATGAGCCTCACAAAGTCCTTGGTCAGGGTAAACATCACTTAGCAACAACCGAAAACATCGGTTTCACCAGCACTGTTCCCAGGCTGGAAGTCAAAACAGCACTGCACCAGCTACCACAAAGGAGAAAAATGACTGCTACTGCTGAACCCAGGACAGGAATCTTGCCTTGACAGAGATCTGCTACAGCTGAGAATTGTCCCCAAGATGCTCATGATTCTGCTGGTGGAGGGAAAAATTATTTCCTTCACAGCTTGCGCCTTGCAGCTCAACTGTGTTATTCTTTTTGTTACTTGTGTTTTCTCTTAGGTGCAATGGTTTATGACTGGCAAGTAGCAATATGCCATCGACTGCATTATGCCACCATGATGAACAGGGATCGCTGCTTCAAGATGGCTTTTGGGTCTTGGCTGTCTGGTGTCCCTGTGACTCTGGGCTTCACCACCTGGTTATTTACCCTGCCCTTCTGAGGGAGAAACACAGTCGACCATTTCTTTTGTGATGTTTCTCCTGTGTTAAAGCTGGTGTATGCAGGCACAGCCCTGTTTGAGCTACTGATTTTTATTGCTATTGTCATAATAGTGATGATTCCCTTTTCTCTGATAGCCAGCTCTTATCTTTGTGTTATCCATGCTGTTCTTCAGATACCCTCGTCTGTGGGCCAGAGGAGAGCCTTTTCCACCTGTGCAGCTCACCTGGTGGTAGTCACTCTTTTTCACAGCACAACTGGCATCATTCACCTGCCGCCCAAGTCCGGCTTCTCATCCAACATGAAGAAAATGGTTTCCCTGTTTTACACAGTTGTCACCCTCATGCTCAACCCCATCATCTACAGCTTGAGGAATCAGGAAGTCAAGCAAAGCTTGAGGAGATGCATGACAAATGGTTATTTAAGAAGCAGGAGACAGATTCCTTGTAGCTGCATGGAACGGAAGTGTTTCCATAGTTAAAAAATTAAATGGAATTTATGAATAAAGTGAAAGCCTTTCAAAAATACCTGTGCTGTTTTATCAGTCCTTTGCTGTTAAATTCAGATATACCTGACCTTTTTTACTCAGATATTAGAATAAATTATAGTTGTTGTAATTCTGACCTTACAAACAAAAAAGTAAACCCAGTGTAGTGGAGTTTTATAATCACTAAAGTGGATTATAAAATTCTTACCTTCCCACATCATTATACGTTTATCCCTGTAAGTATATAAAGTCTCTGTCTGGGGAAAAAAAATGTTGGTTTCCCTCTCCATCAAAGCAAAAGTGGTAGCCTGGAAATTTCCCCCCACAGAAAAAAAACCCTCAATAGTGAGTTGAGACACAAGTTAGTACCTTATGAATGGAGGGGATGAGCTGTGTCTCCAGGATGTGTCCTTCCTACTGATGTGAGAGATTGGGTTCAGGCCTAGACCTGATCTGATTTTTTTCCTGTTGGAACAAAGATCTCATTCCCAAACTAGCTAGTAACTTGCTCAGTTCAAAACTAAAAGGGTAAACTGAAACATTGCCAGCTAGCTGCAGCAGCTTTATTTTAATTAATTCCCTTCTCATGTAGGCTAAAAGTAAGCTAGGAGGGGATTATTTCATAACTCTTCGAGCCTGATACTTTCTGTCTGATTGGTTTTCTGACTTGCCAGATGGAGCGTTCATGAAAGCAGACTTTGACTTCTGCTTTTATTTTCTCTCTGCTTATTTTGATCTAACTGTAACCCCAATTCTGGTATTGCTTATAGCTGAGCAGCATTTTCTCTTCCAATTTGTGTGATTAATACCTAGCTTACATCACTGTCTCTTAGACCAGAAGCCACAAAGGCTTTCTACTATGCAAAAGAACAATGATACAATTCCTTGTACATTTGGTATACATGGAGAGGTTTGGGCAGTGGGGAACAGCAGGTCGTGTGATGCCCAAACTAGAACAGGTTTATCCTGAAGGACTGCAGGCCCCAGAGAGGACCCACACTGGAGGATGGGAAAAGCATGAGGAGGAAGGAGCAGCAGAGCTCTATGAATAGAGCACTACCCTTCATTCCCCATCCTTCCTATTACTCTCGCATTCCCTCCATAACATGAGCTGAGAGGAGGTAGAAGATTGGGGAATAGAGGAGTGAAGTTGAGCCTGGGAAGATAAAGGAGGAGTGGGAGGAAGGTGTTTTAGTTTTATCTTTTTTTTTTTACCATCCAATCTATTTTAATTGGAAAAAAAAAAAATTGTTTTCCCAAAGTCACTCTGTTTTGCACATGACGGTTGATAATCAGCCAAGGATTTCCCAACTCAAGAGCTTTTACATCTTCTTTTCTCCTCCTGTCCTGTCCTGCTGAGGAGGGGACTTGAGAGAACGCCTAAGTAGGAGTCTGGCTGCAGTACAAGGTCAACCCACCACAGCAGTGTTACAAGTATTGGTAAGAGGTGATTTGGGGAATAAGAACGAGATAAAATGGGAAATAATAGGAAATGGCTAGAAGAATGGCATTTTAAGACAAAGCTGAAATGGAATTGAATCTGCCCAGGGACGTCAAAGACAGCAAGAAGGACTTCTGTAAGTACACAGGTGATAAAAGGCAGACTAGGGTAAATGCATGCCCATTTTTGAATGAGCGGGGCGAACTGGTGATGCAGGATGTAGAAAAGGTTGATATGCCAAATGTTTCAGGAATCCCAGGTCCTAGAGATCAGAGGGAGAGTCTGTAGCAAGGCTGGTATATCCTTGGTGAAGTAAGATCAGGTCAGGGAATACCAGTAAGCCCATTAACCCTAATATGTAAGTCCATTAACCCTAATGGGATGCTCCCATGAGTGTTGAAGTTTCTGGTCGATGTCTATTCTAGCATCAACCATTCTGTGATTCTGTGATCCACCTTCTGTGCAGAAAGGGCAAAGAGGGACATGCCTAACTGATCTCCTGTCATCTACCAAACCAGTCATTTCATTGCAGAAAAACATTGTCAGTTTCTTGGTGAAGCTGTGTTGACCATTGGTCATGATCACATTCATGTTCTTCATGTGCCTGGAAAGGGTTCACAGGAGAGAACTGTGGAATCATAAATTCCCCTTTTTGCCCTTTTAAAAGCCAGGAGTGAGATCTGTTTTCCTTCAGCCTAACACATCTCTCCCAGTCATCGAAAGATTACTGAGAGTTGCCTCAATGTGATATCAGCCAGCTCCTTCAACACTCATGGGAGAATACCTATGATGTTTTACTCAGCAATAAAAGGCCAGGGAGTGGAGGAGGAAGGGGGCATGTTCATGCTTAAGGTGTTTGTCTTCACAAGCAACAGTCAGGCATGCTGAGCCTCTGCTCCCTAGGAAGTTGTTAGACATTGCCCAAAGATGGGAAGTAATCAATTAATTCCCTTTTTGCTTGTCTGTACAGCTTTCACTATCCTTATTAAACTCATTACCTTGATCCATGAGTCTCCTCCCTTTGATTTTGTCCCCACAGGAGAGTGGAGTGGGCAAGAAGTAAGGTGCTTACATATAGTTGCAGAAAATTTAAGACTAAACTTGGCATTTTTCAATTAACCCCCTTCATCATACAAGTAGTTTTCCACTTTCACTTCTGTGTTAAGTAAATACTTTGTGCTTGTCTAAACATGTCTTCACCTGTAACACAGACTCCTGAAGCTCCAGTTTGTGGTGTTATGCTGGCGTGCAGCCTGCTGTCACCGCACCGTACACCACCTGACACGTTGGTTTGCATTTGGACAGTGTGACTTTCTCCCCTGAACATGAACTCTCCCTGAGTAGTCATGGGCCATTAAATAAAGCTAGCAAAGGCGGTGTCGACATAACCTGTACAGTGGAAAAATTAGATACCTTTGTAAGGATACGTAGAAGGGCAATGGCCACTCCTTTAGGGGTACCTGGTCAAGGACCTCTTTCAGTGTGACATAGCATAATGAGAAATGGAGGAAGCAATGAACAAGAACTTACAGGGATACAAATCTGATCAACAGGTGATAAGGGAGTGTTGTGGTTTAAACCCAGTGGGCACAGATGGCCCATGCCAGTACCCGGTCTGTGCCCAACGGGACTTGTGAATGTGCAATGTCTGTGGGACCAGTGTGTGAGTGTGTGTGTTTGCTAGTGAACATCAAGCTATATCAGATGGCAAGCAGGGAACCCATGAAGCAGACAGGAGGGCCTGGGACCTGGGCATGGATACCAGGTGGGGGCCGTGTTGATGGTTGAGGGGTCCACAAACATGCCTACGTTTATGAACCCAGAGTGCATCGCATGTGTGCCTGCACTACTGAACTTCTACCTCTATCAGCTGAAAATAGAGGTAGAAGTTCATCCTTGAAGCTGTTAGGGATAACAGGAAGGGCTTCTATAGGTATGTTGCCAAACGAAGACAAACTAGGGATAGTGTGGGCCCTCTTCGGAAGGAAACAGGAGAACTGGCTACCCTGTGTTTGGAGAACACAGAGGTTCTCAACGACTTGACGGGCAAGTGCTCCTGCCATGCCACTCAAGACTTGGAAGGCAAACGCAGGGACTGTGAGATTGAAGACCTTAGGCCCACTGTAGGAGAGGATGAGATCTGAGATCACCTCAGGAACCTGAATGTGCACAAGTCCATGGGACCTGACGAAATCCATCTGTGGGCCCTGAGGGAGGCCAGTAACGAGTGGTGACCCTCAGGTGTTGGGACCAATCCTGTTCAACATCTTTGTCAGCGACATGGACAGTGGGATTGATGCACCCTCATCAAGTTTGCCGATGACACCAAGCCGTGTGGTTCAGTAGAGACGCTGGAGGAAAGGGAAGGGATCTAGAGGGATTCTTTGAAAGGTGGGCCAATGCCCGGCAGTGTTCAAGGCCAGGTTGGACAGCGCCTTGGGCGACATGGTCTAGTGTGAGGGGTCCCTGCCCACAGCAGGGGGGTTGGAACTGGATGATCTTAAGGTCCTTTCTAACCCAACCCCTTCAAAAGGACTCTGTGGATGAAGCACTCTATAGACAGATGGGAACAGCCTCATGCTCGCAGACCCTTGTCCTCATGGGGGACTTCAACCATCCTGCTATCTGTTGGAGGGACGGTACGGCCCGGCACAAGCTGTCCAGGAGGTTCCTCAGTTGTGTGGAAGACAACTTCCTCCTGCAAGTAATAGAGGAGCCGACAAGGAGAAATGCCATCTTTGACCTCGTGCTCACCAACAGGGAGGGTCTGGTTGGAAATGTGATGCTCCAGGGCAGCCTTGGGTATAGCGATCATGAGATGGTTGAGTCTGAGATCCTCAGGACAGTGAGGAGAGCGTGCAGCAAGCTCACTGCCCTGGACTTCAAAAGAGCAGACTTTGGCCTCTTCAGGAACCTGCTTAGTAAGGTTCCATGGGATATAGCCCTAGAGGGCAGGGGGGCCCAAGACTCTTGGTTGATATTCAAGGATCACCTGCTACAAGCTCAAGAGTGCTGTGTCCCAACTAGGAGGAAGCGCTGCAGGAGGGCCAGGAGACCTCCTTGGATGGATAAGGAGCTGCTGAGGAAATTCAGAGGGAAAAAAGAGGCTTATAAAAGGTGGAAGCAAGGACAGGCGGCCTGAGAAGAATGCATGGATGTGGTCTTTTTTTTTTTTCTTCTGTTTTGCAGGTGGCTCACCCATGCAGTACATTTAAGGAACACTTTGTTCATTGCTCTGCAACTCACCATTGAATCACAAATCTCGTCTCAGAAGACTTGCCAAAGCAGCAGGCAATTTACTTCCTGTGTGATGTTGTCAATATTTTGCACATTCTAGA